ACAAATTTAAACCAAAATTTTTCATTTTTAACAATAGTCTGGGATCGGACCCACGATGCAGCCAGTTTGATCCGCAGTGTTGCCAAATCGTGCTTGCTCCATAAATATTTGACTAAAGCTACGTTTACACTTTGTAATTTAAAAATTATCGACTTACATTTAAATGTAAAGTTATAAATTTTGTCTTAAAAATGTATCAATTTAAAATTGTTAAATATAAAAGTTATATTCATATTAATTACATGAGGTTGCAATGGTGCCGCCGCTATCTCCAACTGTTATCGTGTGTAAACTTAATAAGTGTTCATCACAAATCAAAACAAACTCATACAAAGTTCAATGTAATAAGTGCAAGGGTTGGTTTCATCGAGACTGTGCAAACCTAACCATACAGGAATGCTCCACATTTAACAAAGAAAAGGACTCACCAATTTCAAGTAAGTGGACATGTCAACTCTGCTTAACTATAAACAACACTCCTAAGAAAACGCCATCACAACCATCCCTAAAGTCGTTTTTTCGCGTAAATACTATATAATACTACGGTTAAATAAGTCATGACGTCACAGTTAATTCATATAACCATGGTTAGGTTTCTAACATTTGACATTTGTTAACTTGTTCATAACCTATAATTTTTGAAATGTGTTCTTACCTATTTATATTTAATTTCTATGCTTTTCCGGGGTAAATACATTTCTTTGCCTCTTCTTATACCTAGTATATTCTTTTTCTTTACTAGTTTTTTCAATACACGTTATCCAATTCTCCTACATGTTTAATACAAAATAAGGAAGAATATAAAACAAACCTGCATATAATTCCTCCACTTCCTGTGGGGATTCCACAATATGGAGCACCCCATCATTTATTTTCACTGACAACACCCCGTTTACCATTTTAATACAAAGTTTAAATTCGGCTTAAGAGCAATTGAGGTGCATCCGTGCAAAACCGGCTAAATCCATTTTATTCAGTTTTTGTTTTTGTTTTTTTTTGATTTCGCATCTTTGGGTTCATTTCTATCGACAACCAAGATAATTCTGTTTAAATCCGACTATATCCATGTTAAAATCACATTTAAAAGGTAGCTTTAGGAGCAAAACCGGCCAAATCCACGTTTTTATAGCAAAACCCGGCTATATCCAATAAATAATAATGATGATGAGCATGTGACTTGGATATGTCGATACTATAGTATAGTATACTACTAAAATTTGTTCTGTTTTTTCATGTTTGCACTAAATTTATTTTGTTAATATTTTTGAATAATAAAGGTTTTTTTTCACATTTTATTTGGTTTTTGAGCAAAACCGGCTATATACAAAACATTTTTTAAAATTTTGGCCTCAATATAAAGTTTTTGATAACGAAAGTATGTCTTATAAATCAAGTACCACAAAGCCCACAAAACTCAAGTTTGCTTTTTCTTTTATCTGTAAAGGCCAGGAAACCGAGAGTTTTTGCCATTTTCCCAACATTTTATTATAGTGGATATAGCCGGTTTTGCACGGATGCTCCTCAATTGTACCTACTTAAAATATTTTTTCTACGACCACCAGTGGCGGCTCGTGGCAGTAAAATTTGTGAGTTCTGCCAGTGGGGTTTAAAAAAACGCCGTGACTAGAAGTACACCGGGAGTACCGCTATTAAAAGTACATCAGGTTTGTGCGCATGCGTGTTTTCATAACAGCTGATGGTAAAATTTCGGATTTATTAGTTGACATTAAATTGGTACACTAAGGCCCAGTTGTATAACAGTTGGTAAAGAGCTGGTTAACTCTTGATATTAATTATGTAATTATTAAGCTAACTTTCAAGTTGTATAAACATTGATTAAAATTTAATTAAGTGATTGAAATACAATTAACAACAAAATTAATGAAATGTCAGTATGAATTACCCAAACCAACCCAAACTCAACAACCCAACCCAACCGACACCGCCCCATTGGGCCCCCCGCCCCATTGAGCGACCATTTAATATTATACAATTGACAAATATGCTAAATAAGGATTTTTTTCCACCCGGTGTACTTTTAATAGCGGTACTCCCGGTGTACTTCTAGTCACTTTGTTAAAAAAATGTGGCGCAGTTGGCATTTATTTAAATGTTACCTACAGATAATTAATTAAATCATACACAACATTCATTCTTACAAAAGAATACAACAACAAACACAAAACACAAAAATACACAGAATTAACAGTCTTCTAGTTAAAATAACAAACGTGAACGAAGCGAAAAACAAACGACCGGGAAGTAGGAACTGTATGTTGGTGCAGCTCCGATTTGGCTAAAATTTCGGTATCTTAACCCAGGACCAAGAGCGGCGCGGAGCAAAATTACGGTATTGAAATGGGAGCCAGAACTCGAAAGTGGCCCAGCTTTGTTGTATTGTAAGCGTTAAACGTTAGAGACCTTTACCGGTCGTTTGGATGACTGTAGTGGCCAAGTACGGCGACACGGCAAATGTTTATAATAAAAACTTTTTATGCAGCCTTGCGTTTGAAATATTTATACACTGTCGCACTTAAATATTAAATAATAAAAAAAAATAGTCATAAAATAAGAAAATTTTGGGAGTTCTGCAGCTCTGCAGCCCTTATACACTAGCCGCCCCTGACGACCACTATGTAAAAGTCACTTTTCATGATGGCATCGTTGCTTAGAAAATGAATCTTTTCATTGGCAAGGCAAAACACGAATGTAAAGTGACATTTCTGTGTGAAAAGTGAAAGGTCTGTGTGAAAAGAACCGGAAAGCATCGTTTGACATTCAGCTCTCAAAAAAGTTTTTAGGTTATTTTGTTTTGTATTTAAAAATAATAAAAAATAAAAGGGTCGCAGAAAAAACATTGTGTTATACTTGTGAGAAAAGCTTTCTTCAAGCTCGTGTTACTGCACACTCGGCCTAACGGCCTCGTGGGCAACTTAAAAACTCGCATGAAAAAGTCGCTTTTCAACACTTGTAACTATTAAATTCTTTTTGACGTCAAATGTAAACAACTTTTTGACAGATCGAAACAGAAAAATATATATTAAAAAGAGAAAGACTATTAACCACGTTGAATAACTAGCTCAGCGATATAGTTTTATGGTCTGGTATTTGTGACGTCATAGTTAAGATTTTTGAACGCACTCTAAACGCAAAAATGCCTTAACTATTAATAGTCCGGGAGGCAGTGAAGATTTTTATCTTCTTATTTTCCCAGTTTGTGAATGTCATTAAGTTTGTTCAAATGGTGACACAAAACGACAATTTGTGTGTCTGGCTAAAATTTTCGGATGGGTTCACTAGATGAGCCAAAAAGTCAAGTCCACTTATTTTCCCAGTCATAAATATTTCACATTAATTAAAGTGAGTCATTTTATTAATGGAAATAACAGTCTGGCACATCCCAAGTGAAGGAAAGTCAGTCTGGCTGAAAATTTGCGGAAGCAAAAATTTGACCGGTTTTTGAAATACGTAGCCCTTATTTTCCCATGCTTAAAATTTAACCCATTATTTGGTACTGTCATAAACTATAATCAAAATTAAGTCTGGCTGATTTATGAAATTGGCAAATTGTTCTGGCGGCATCTTGAAAATCGTAAGAATTACAAAAATTTTGCTCTTATTTTCCCGGATTTGAAAATTTGTCACATGATAAATAATACTATAATTTCGTAGAAAATACACGTCTGGCTGTTATTTACAATCACGAAAGCCCCGCCAGACTCACAAGTCAGATAGCAGAAACTCGCGTTTGAATGGGAATTTTCGCGATTTTCTTTTTTTTTATTGATATAACTCAAAAACTAAGGGAGATACAAAAGACTGTCAAGAAATCGATTTTGTAGAGAATCCTACAAAAAACAACTGCACAAATTTTCTCGTATCTCTGATAGTTACAAAGTTATTCGCGAATAAAGTTTTTTGGTGGCGGACGGACTGACATTTTTTTAGCCATATTTAAATTTTGCTTTACACAAATTATTTTCTTATCATACATTATGAAAAGTAAAAACATGTAGAGATGACAACAATCGCCTGTATAATTGAACATGCCGAATTTAGCGCGCCTGTGGAGGGTTGGACGAGTCTGGCAAGGCTTTCGGAGTGTTCCACATTAGCCAGACTATATTTGCAGCTGTAATTATAATATAAACTATCATCTCACAAAATTTTTAGGACTGCGAAAATAAGGGCAATGGTTTTGATAATTTTTCCGCCTTAACCCATCGGAAACCCCCCCCCTAAATATATATAAATTTTGCTCAGAATAACAAACCCAATAATATCGGTGTTTGCCGACTGGGAAAATAAGTACCGAAAATCTTCACTGCCTCCCGGACTATAACCAAGGATAAGTTTAATAACCATAGTATTTCATGGTATTTACGCGAAAAAACGACTTAAGTATGGATGTATTATTAAATGAAAATATCCTCCTCAAGAGAATCATTAGGGAGTTAGAAGAGAAAAATGCACTCTTAATTGAAAACAAAATGTTATTAGAAGATAAGATAATTAATCTGGAAAAAATCCGCAAAAAAGAATTGAAGCTAATATCTCGCGCCAAGACATAAATATCAATAAATTAAAAGTTGTCGATACAATTAACTCTCTTGATTCATCTACCAGTCAACAGGGGGCAGATAACAACAATGGTTCTGAAAACATAGAAACTCAAGAGATGTCGTCAGATGCACAAAATAAAAATAAAACAAATAAGGAAATTAAAAAACATCAATCCGTACCTAAAAAAAATATCCAAGAAAAATTAACTAATAAACAAGAACCTATATATAAAAATAAAACAATTGTTACAAAAAAGGACATCCCATCCACAATTATTACCGAGAAAAATGCATCATCGGCTATTTTAGAAGCAACCATAAAAAATATTTGTGGAAAGCATAAACATTAATAATGATGAACCAAAATATATCAATACATGGGCTGAAGTAGTTGGAAAAAATAAGAAGAAGTCAAAGACTGCTAATAAAACTAGTATTATGGGAAATCTTAAAGGCTCCAGCAGTTGCGCTTTAAAAGTTGTTCCCAAAAAGTCTTTTGTGTATGTCTCAAGGTTGGAACCAAATACACAGTGTGAAGATATAATTACCTATTTAAACTCTAAATTTCCTGAAATTTAGCAACCATAAAAAATATTTGTGGAAAGCATAAACATTAATAATGATGAACCAAAATATATCAATACATGGGCTGAAGTAGTTGGAAAAAATAAGAAGAAGTCAAAGACTGCTAATAAAACTAGTATTATGGGAAATCTTAAAGGCTCCAGCAGTTGCGCTTTAAAAGTTGTTCCCAAAAAGTCTTTTGTGTATGTCTCAAGGTTGGAACCAAATACACAGTGTGAAGATATAATTACCTATTTAAACTCTAAATTTCCTGAAATTACTTGTGAAAGTGTTGAATCCAAGTTTCCACAACATTATGCGTCTTTCAAAATAACTGTTTATTTGTGTAATTTTGAAAAAATTATGAACTTTGGCCTCAGGGTACCTACTTGTCTCGGTTTTTTCACCCAAAACCGAAAACCGCACAGGTCACCTAAAGGAATCTTTTAGTATTGTAAATTTAAATATACAATCAGTTAAAAATAAAATAAATGAGCTGGAGTTATTCTTAAACAATAAAAATATTTCTTGTGTGTGCCTATGCGAACATTGGCTTACTGCTAATGAAATATGTGCATTAAGTATAGAAGGATACACTTGCGCTTCTTTCTATTCTAGATTAAATAGTAGAGGAGGTGGATCTGTAATACTAGTAAAATGTAATACCAATTATATTGAACTACAAAATATTAATAGTCTTTCATTAAAAAGAGTTGTAGAAATTAGTGCGATAAAGATTTTAGATATTAATTTAATAATTGTAAATGTGTACAGACCCCCTAGTGGTAATTTTAAAATATTCTTAGATGTGATAGAAAATGCGTTAAATACTTTAGGTCTAACGTCAAAAATCCTAGTGTCAGGAGATTTTAATGTTAATTTTACTCATTTAAATAATGATGCTTGTTTTTTAAGAGGTGTGTTTTTATCCTTTGGATTTAAACAACAATTTTTTGCTCCCAGTAGAAATTTTAATTGTATTGATAACATATTTGTTAATTTTGATAATGATTGTGTAACTGAGACTATAAACATTCCCTTTTCTGACCATAATGCTCAAGTGGCAAAGTTTTATGATTTAATGCTAAACTCTAAGACTAAGCCGATTATAAACAAGTTTAGGCCTATCACAGAATGGGGCAAGCTACAGTTTTATAACAAAATAGAACAGACCAACTTTAATTTTGTAAATAATGATTTTAATGTTAATTTTAAATTTGAAATGTTTGTGTCCATTTTAAAAAGTACATTTTTAAACTGTTTTCCTGAAAAAACTGTATAGGTAACATAATTAACAAAAAAAGAGGAAGTAATCATATAGATTGCGCAATTCCCCCTAACTTGATTAATTCATACTTTGCTACTATAGCCAATACTATTATTAAAAACCTAGGTGTCACTAACTCTTCTTTTTATTTTGAAAGAATTAAAGCTCCTAAAAATCGATTTCACTTTAAGGAAGTAACATATATTAAAGTCATAGATATAATTGACAAAATTAAGTCCCAAAAGAGTAGTGATATTTATGGTTTAAGTATAAGTATCATTAAAATAATTAAATATTTAATTTCTATCCCTCTAGCTAAACTAATTAACTTGTGTTTTATAAAGGCTGAATTTCCTGATGTTCTAAAGGAGGCCCTTGTGATACCAATTTATAAGAAAGGTGATATAAATGACCCCAACAATTTCAGGCCCATATCCATCTTGCCTGTTTTTTCGAAGATTATTGAAAGATGTTGCTTTTTTTGAAGAAAACAACATATTTAGTGAGTGTCAGCATGGTTTCAGGAAGGGTAAAATACCACATCTGCAATTCTGCAAATGGTACGAACAATAGAAGATTCTTTCGAAAATCTTGAATTTGCAAATGCAGTGTTTTGTGATCTAAGCAAGGCCTTTGACTGAGTTTCTCACTCTCTGCTTCTAAAAAAGCTTCAAGCCTACAATTTTTCTGAAAATAGTGTAAAACTAATTCAATCATATTTATCAAATAGACATCAAGTTTGCAAAATTGGGAATGAATTGAGTCAAAGGGAAACTGTGAAAGTGGGGGTACCTCAAGGCTCTGTTCTTGGACCTATCCTATTTTTGATATTTATAAATGACCTATCTAACATTAGTAACTCGACTGATCTAACACTATTTGCTGATGATACCACAATTGTAGTAAAAGATAAAAATCTTGAGCTTTTGGAGGTGAAGAGTGAGAGAGCAATGTCGCGGGCTGAAAAATGGTTCACCGAGAATCAATTAGTCCTAAACAAGGGCAAAACACAGAACAATATTTTCTCCTTAAGAGATTTTAATGACTTAAGCAAGTCAGAACCCATTAAATTTCTTGGAATCATGTTTGACACTAAATTAAGATGGAACAGTAGGGTGAGCCAAAAAAACTAACCTATCGGATTTATGGGTTAAAATGAACCTACATACCGAGCAAAAAATTTCCCTGCAAGGCAAAATTTTTTGCTCAATTTTAAAAGGTGTCGGTGAGCATTCTAAGTTTTCCATTAAAATAACACGTAAAAAAATCTTTTTTCATTAAAAAGACTATAACTTTTGAACCATTTGAGATAAAATTTTTTACGTCGCGGATTCTTGTAGAGCATAAAATTTCCCAAAGAATCTATACCAGGATTATTTTTTTTAATTAAAAAATTCGTATGTTTGAAAGCTTTGAAAAGTGTAAAAAATCACTAAAACTGCAGTCAAAAGTTATAGTCTTTTTAATGAAAAAAGATTTTTTTACGTGTTATTTCAATGGAAAACTTGGAATGCTCACTGACACCTTTTAAAATTGAGCAAAAAATTTTGCCTTGCAGGGAAATTTTTTGCTCGGTATGTAGGTTCATTTTATCCCATAAATCCGATAGGTTAGTTTTTTTGGCTCACCCTATGGAACAGTCACATAGATTCACTATCAAAGAGGTTGAATACCAATATATTTATTATTCGTAATCTTGTTGGTAGTGTGTCCAGTGAAGTATTGGCTAGTGCCTATTTTTCCTTATCCAATCGCATATTTCGTATGCCATAATTGTTTGGGGTCATTGCTCTGAGTCACACAGAATATTTAGTCTGCAACGCAGAATTATAAGAATTATTGCCTCCCTTGGTTATAGGGACGATTGCAGGGCTGAATTTAGAAGACTTGGAATTATGACTTTTCCTGCCTTATTTATTTTTCATAATTTGCTTTACGTAAAAAATAATTTGAACTTATATAAAAGTCATGACACCAGAAATAAAGGCAACTTAGTTAATCAATTCTCTAAACTGAAAAGGTGCCAGAGTGGACCTGATTTTTATGGAATTAATTTTTTTAACAAACTCCCAAATAATGTAAAAAATATGGCTTTTAATGAATACAAACTGTTTTTAAAATCCTTTTTTACTACTCATTCATTTTATTCTATTGGTGAGTTTTTAAACTTTACCTTTTAATTGTGTCCTTATGTTATTATATTCTTTGTTTAATTTATATTTACATTTCTTGTACTATTTTTATATTTGTATTTTTCTGACGTTGTAAACTTTTTGGTAATAGCACTAATAAATATTATTATTATTATTATTATATTGGTTTAAATTTGTAAAGAGTCATTTAAATGATAGTCGATACATTTTAAATGAAAAAAATACCTCTTTTAAATTTAAATCTAACATTTAAATGTAATGTTCAAATTTTTGTATTGAAAATTTATCGACTATCATTTAAATGACTACAAATTCAAACCAATAATATTTGAAGAATAAAATATTAAAATTCCATTTTTTAAAAATCAACAATTTTAAACCTAAACTTTTACAGTTGCATTTTATATTTAAATTATTTTTTGATTATCAATAGTTTTGAGTTACAAAAATTTAACTTTTTAAACTATTTTGGTAGAAAATGTTTTATATGTGTTTTTATTTTAAATGGCTTGATACTATTTTTAAATACTAAAAAATTTAAATTAATCTCAATAATTTTATAAAATATTTATTTAAGTTTACAAAATGCCATCCAAATAAATTATATTTGGGAAATTATTTTTATTAAAAAATGTTTGCAAAAATTGATAGAAAATAATATTGTTTAATACAGAAGTGAACTGTTAGTTATTACATTTTGTCTTTCAATATATGATAGTTGAAAATATTTTAAATTTATAAATGTAAACCTAAAATTATTACTAAGTAAGGAAAATTTTAAACCAATAAAATTTTAAATTAAAAATTATTTAATAAATGTTAAAACGGCGTGCCATATAGCTCCCTACCATCTGAGTTACCCAGCTTAATATCAATTTTGTGGAAATAAACATTAAAAATATGATCCACATTATGTATAATATTATTTCGGCACCTTGAAATGACAAGGTTCTAAGTGCAGTTAAAAATGCTTAATCTGCAATATTTAATATTGTAGATAAGTCATTTTCGCTTAACAGTGCAGCTGCACTTAAAACCTTGTTATTCTAAGTAAATTTACTAAAAAAGGATTTAATTTTTAGAGCTACAATAACAGAAGGCAAAGACTTTATATCATCAAACCTGGCAAAAACCAAAGAAATATCAAAAAGCATAGAAAACTTGGCAATACAGGAAAACGTGGAAGCTCGTGGAACATACATTGTCGAAGAAGACGCATTTATAAGACGTAAATCCAGCGTAACAGACGAAGAATACATGGACAACATAAAAGAAATTTGCAATCCCGGCAATCCGCTGGACTTCTACATCAGAACTAATCGTGATTTGGGCAGTGGAGCTCAGGGCTTGGTATTTTCGGCTGAAAGTAAGGAAAGCGGGCAAATGGTGGCCATAAAAGATATCGATATGATGAAGCAGTCCAAGCAATTATTGCTAAGCGAGATAAAAATCATGAGGAACTTCCAGCACAAGAATTTGGTGAACTTTCTTGAAGCTTTCGTAGTGCAAGACCACCTCTGGGTGGTCATGGAGTTACTGGATGGCGGCCCGTTAACCGACGTTGTGACTGAAACAATAATGAAGGAGGGCCAAATCGCGGCCGTTTCCTACGAAGTATTGCAAGCAATATCCTATCTGCACGAACGCGGCACGATACATAGAGATGTTAAATCCGACAACGTGCTGCTGAGCATGGACGGCAACGTCAAAGTTACGGACTTTGGCTTCTGCGCAAACGTGGTGGGCAACGAGATGAGGCAAACGATGGTGGGGACGCCGTTTTGGATGGCACCGGAAGTGGTGACGAGGCAAAAGTACGGCAAAAAAGTCGACATTTGGAGCCTGGGTATCATGATTGTCGAAATGGTCGACGGAGAACCGCCTTACTTGAGAGAAAACCATCTCAGAGCGCTTTATTTGATCACGACCAACGGCAGGCCGAAGATCAACAGGTGGAGCCACTTGTCCCCGCTGTTGCAAGATTTCATCAACGCTTGTCTCGAGGTGGATGTGGACAAAAGGGCGACAGCGGTCGACTTGCTAAAGCACGACTTCCTAAGAAGCGAAAATCGCATGGAGTTATCGACTTTGACGCCACTTATTAGGGCTGCCAAGAGGATTTTGCACAAAGATTAAGGTTTTTCGGGATTTATATAGTATTTGCTGCAGAGTTGGGAGTATCTTGAAAAAAAGATACTTAAAAGTAACTTAGATACTTAAGGTATCTAAGATAATTTATCTTAGATACTTCTTATATTGGACAGAAAGTGTCTTTCACTTGGTTACTTTGGAAAAGTATCATGTCCCTTGTGAAAATTTTTCTCTGAAAAAGTTTTAATAAGTAAAAATAAGAGTTTTTAAAGTCTTACTTTCTCTTAAAAAGTCTGAATAAGTCCGAAAAAGTCTGAATAAGTCTTAGTAAGTCAGACTAATAGCAAGATTTGGGAACCTAACTACAGCGATTAAAATAAATATCCGGAATTATTCAGAGAGGTTGTATTTGATTATTATAAAATAAACCACAAAGAAAAGTATTTATTAACATTTTGCGAGGATGGTAATAAGCGTTTGAGTCTATAATATTAATATTAAGAGGTCTATCATCGCAATTTTAGATTTTTTTTTCCTGAGCGAGTTTTTGTCTCAGAACTCCCAAACCATTGAGTTTAACAAAATTGACTTAAGAATATTTTATTTTTTTTAACTTTGGAATTTTGTAATTCATGTAAAAATCAGTACCCAGAAAAAAACCGATGAATATTCTTATGGGAAATCAAATGCTCTACAAAAAGTCTTCTAACATTTTTAGCTAAATTCACTCCATCAAAAGTTATTCAAGGTTAAATTTGACAAGAATTTCGTTTTGACTTCAACTTTAACCTTGAATAACTTTTGATTGAGTGAATTTAGCCAAAAATGTTAAGAGGCTTTTTTGTAAAGCATTTGATTTCACATAAGAATATTTATCGGTTTTTTATGGGTACTGATTTTTACATGAATTTCAAAATTCCAAAGTTAAAATGTAAAACTATACCAATGTTTAGGGCATGATTTTAAGGAAACGGTTCATCTGACGAAAAATTTCATTTAACCTTTTTTGTAGAGCATTTAATTTTCTTAAAAAAATATTTCCAAGTAAATTTTGTAACTCAATGGTTTGGGAGTTCTGAGACAAAAACTTGATGAGGGAAAAGAAATTAAAATTAAGATAGACCTCTTAATATTAATATTATGGACTCAAACTTTCACAATAATTTTTTTTGTCGCCCCAAACCATATTTTCGATATAATTTTCAAAAAAAATAGTTGATTTTTTTGGCCCATATGTAAGGTGTAATAATTATAACAATTATAATTTTTTAGATACGATGCTCTTATTGTTGCCATTGCACTGTTTTATTTTAATAGTTTCTTTTTATACGCAAATATTCATCTAACCATTGTTCCAAGCACTTTTTAGACACAATATCGATTTTCTCAGCTGACCAATTAGAGCCCAGCTGATCTGTCATGTGATGGCATCTTCCCGCGTTTTCAAGATAGCTCTCCTGTCACTACTTACCAAGTGTTGCCGTTTGCGGGTATTTAACTCGGAAATCGGGTATTTTCTTCATGTTTGCGGGTAGAATTTTGAAGCGGGTAAAATGGGATATTTTGCAAAATTCGATCAAAATACTAACTGAAGATATTTTCAGTAAATAATATTGTATGTTTACTAAAAATTCCATATAGGACATCCTGTTACATTTTTATTTACTATAAAAAATGTTTAAATTAATTTGATGATTTTTTTTAAAACGGCGAATGCGCTAGTAAATTTAAAATATAACTAGTTTTTTAGTATTTTGTAATTTTTGGTCGGGAACTTGTATGACATTCATCCGGCAACACTGTATAAATGAAGATCAACCATATTTGTTTTATGAGTTTTATAATGTGTTTGACTGTCGACCATATCATGCCTATGCATTGAGAAGAATTGTTATAGTTATTATACCTTATATATGTACTTAATCAACAAGAGATCTGTATTTACAAAAACCAAACGTATCTCCCTACTGTTTTATTCTGTTCAATTAAAATAAAGTTTGTTTACCTATATTGTAAAAATTGCTTCTGTGTTTTTATAAGCCTTATAACAACACAAAAACAGTGTTTATAAATACTTTTCATTGTGATTTCTTTTGCAATAACAAAATACATCTCCGGATATTTATTTTAATCGCTTTAGGTACCTACCATTTCTCTGCTAAAAGTCTTATTAAGTCTTAAAAAGTCTGACTTACTAAGACTTATTCAGACTTTTTCCGACTTATTAATTCTTATTCTGACTTTTTCCTACTTAATAAGTATTATTCAGACTTTTTAAGAGCAAGTAAGACTTTAAAAACTCTTATTAAAACTTTCTCAGAGAAAAATTTACACAACGGGTAACTTGTATATAAAAAAGTAAAGTAACTTAAATACTTTTAAGTGAAACTTAGAATACTTTCTTAGAGAAAATTGGGGGAATTCCAGAATGATTCAAAGTAATTACCTAACCTAGATATTGTTGAATTTTCATAATTTTATAGTTTTTATTTATACTTAAAAGTAACTTAGTTACTTAAAAGTATCTTAGTTACTTAAAAGTATCTTAGTTACTTAAAAGTATCTTAGATACTTTTTAAAGTATCTTGTAACTAAAGATACTTTTAACCAAAGTAACTAGTTACCGGAGGTAACTAAGTTATTTTGTTTAAAGTATCTTGGAAAATTAACTAGATACTTTTCAGAAGTAACTTTTCCAGCTCTGATTTGCTGCATATATTCCATCCATTCCAGTCATTTCTAAATCTCATTTAGAAATACTTATAATCCAAAGACTGGTTTTGTATTTACATTTTTTACAAAGTCCATATTTTTATATCTTTGTAAAACAATTTTATATTTATTTTATACATTACATTGAATTGCTTGATACGCATAGGTTGTATGTTATATACAGTCCCTGGCCAATTTATTAGACTCACTTACAAATTTTCTTTAATTTTGTAAATTTGTAAAATGGTGGATTCTTCTCATAAAAATCCATTTTTAAACTACAGGTGATTTTATAAATGAAATCGGCTTAAAAACGCTTTTAAGGGCAAGAAAATACATTATTATAAAAAGTGATGGTAAAAAATATGCATTAAATAGTAACATTTTTCACAAAAAGGACTTTTTGGGCTTTACAACTTTTTTGTAATAAAATGTTAAAGTGTCGTAAAAAAACGGAAAAATTGTGAAGAAACTATTTTCCGTTTTTTTCCAGTTTTTCCCAAAAAATTACAAATTTTAATGAAAGTAGCAATCAACAACTTAAAAATAGAATAGAATAAAGTATTCCTACTGAATTAAAATAATATGAATAATTTTTGTAATCACAATATTGTATGATTATAATCAGAGTCGGAAATTCACTTTTTTGGAAATTTTCAACAGTAATATCACAAGAGAGTGAAAATAATTTGACAAATATTTCGAAAACTCAAGTTTGAGAAATTTTCTGGAGAATTATTTTCATATTTATTGATCTTTTGAGTGGTATTCGGAAGATTATTTTTTGACGATGTTTCCAAATTGATTTATTGCTGGTTTGAGTATTTTTTTGATTTTTTTTTATTTGAGCCTTTATTTCATCCTCCTGTTGAACTTAACCTTTTGCTGTTCATTTTAAATAACTGATGACAGATATAAAAATCTTTTGATTGGCTTAAACGTAAAATTGAAAATTTCCATTGGCTTTTAGTAACGTCAAAAAATAATCAGAAAAGTTTACTTTTGCATTTTTTGTTTATTACCCTTTGAATAAAATGAAAAAAAATTAAGTCAATTTTTTCCGCCGGCCAAATTTCTCCGGAAATTTTAAAACCCTTTTTGGCCGCTTATTTAAAGCTTTTGATAATCATCAATAGATGCCTTTTGAGTACTAAATATCTTTTTTACCATCACTATATTAATTTTTTCGTTAAAATGTGATTTATCTTCCTAAAAACTGTTTATTAGTAGCTTTTAACAAAAACTGAAAATCGAACAAAAAATAACACTTTTTCTGCTGCGGCCGCTTTCATCATTGTTTGTTTTATGGTGGCGCCATCCATAGATGATTACTAGTCACTTTTTGGCCTTAATAACTATTAACGCGATTCTATTAATACAATCACTTTTGTAGTACACAAATTCAGATTTTTGAGAATACAGTTTTACAAATTTACAAAATTAAAGAAAATTTGTGAGTAAGTCTAATACATTGGCCATGGACTGTAGGTTGTATGTTATATAAGACTTGAAAATTATTTAAAAAATTTGCATTTTCTGTAGGATTTTATTCAGTTTAAAATTAAACTTCTCAAAAATACCAAAAAAATGCTCTCTTAGGTTGAGGTCATCCAAATGGTGCAATAATTATAGGGAATTATACCAATTTTTAAATGTTATAAGTCATATTTTTGTTTTTTATTATTTTACCAAACTATTATTCTGCATGTTTTTATTAGTACCTACAAAATACAAAATTTGACTTATACTATTTTGCCATATTACCAGATGTTTTTTGTGTAGGCACGAAAATCTCATAAAAAATAGTACCATTTTTGTGTTACACTAGAATGTTTTTATTTTTAACAGAGAAGTTTATATTTTCGTTTTATAAGTATTAAAATATATATTATATTTTTTAATTTTTTTGACAAACAATATTGTTATTGGATAAATTTATAGATATATTCTGTAAATATGTAAATACAGTTTTACAAAATATAATTTACAAATATATTAAGGCATTTTTTATAGTTTATTAGGTTTATACCATTTATTTTATACATTTTTACAAAAAAAAACTTTGTTTTTTTTTAATATTATAGGCTTAAAAACTTTATTTAACTTAAAACTTTACCAGGAGTCAACTAAAAGTTTCTTATTAGTTTCCAATTGAGCCAAATAATTCTTGGCATCTTGTTCATTTAATTTTCCATATGTCCCCAACAATTTTAAAATCGTACTTTTTACATCTTTTACGACAGTTTTTAAATTTCCACAAATAAAAATTGACGCGCCTTTAACCATAACTAAATCAATAAATCCTTTCCCATTTTCTTTTATTTTATGTTGCACATAAACTTTATTATCTTCTCTGGAACAACAAGCAAAGTATTTAGTTAATACTGATTTACAATAGTCACTTATTTCGTTTTTATACAAAGCATCTCTGTCTGTATATCTAAAACCATGAAATAACCAAATATCTTCTAAATGTTGAGGTTTCCCCAATTCCAGAGATTTTAAAAATCCTATAAAAGGTGCAATACCTGTCCCAGTCCCTATTAAAATTAAAGGCACATGAAAATCTAGCGCTAATCTAAAATTATTGGGTTTTCTAAAGTAAAATGGAATTTTAACATCACTTTTATCCTTAATAATATTTTCCAACCACCCTGTGCATACACCTTTAACATTCTTACTAATTTCGGTAACAAAAAACGTTATATTTAATTTATTATTCAATAACGGTGATGATGAAATTGAATAAGGCCTAGGCTGCAGATTAACTGAATTTTCTATAATAATTTCAACTGGTGGTAAACATGATGATAATATATTTAATAACCCTAGCAAAGTACGGCCCTCATTATTAATAAACTTCATGTAATCCTGTGTTCCCAATGTTGACGTAATGTGTTTTAAAAAATCTGAATCCTTTGAATCTGAAGTATGTATCAAGAGGTTTTTTAGAAAAAGCTAAAAATTATTTATTTGTTATTATTTTAAATACTACCATAATTTGTACTTCATAGTTTTAATGTAAAATACCTTTTTTGGTGGTGTTCTAATATCAATATTATTGACAAAAATATTACGAATACTACCATTTTTTGGTACATGCTTAGGTAATGTGGGGTTTTTCTTGATTGTTCCTTCCAAAATAGATAAACAATATTCATTATCAGCAACCCCAGTTAAATTTAAACGATCCAATAAATTGTTAACCTCATCTAAATTATTTTGAGCTAAAATTCCAATTGTATCGCCTGGTAAGTAATCAAATTTCTCCTAAAATGTTTGGCAAGAGTAAGTAAACTTTTGCAAAATATATAAACAACTTACATTTAGTGACAAAGTTAAGTCATAAACCGTTTTAACGTCTTCACCATGTGTTAAAAGTTCAGCTTTTATTAGATTTGAAAATTTTAATTCGCTGTTTGCGAATGGAAGCAATCTACTTTCAAAAATATTCTAAAAAATAAATATTTTTTATGTGAGAACCCAATAAAATCATTTTAATTACCTTATCGTTGTATTTTTTATCCAAAATATTTAATTTCAAATATTCCCCCATAATCAACGTTAACCTTAAATTTCATCTAAACACATGACAACCAGTGACTGGCTGTCATGTTTACGTTGTTTACGTCCAGTATTTTGATGTTAAATTTTGTTAATAAATTTACAATAAAATCAGAGGGAATTGGTTGATTAAGAGGTAAATATAATAATTTAAACTAATACACTTCCATTTCAGCATATGAGAAAGGCTGGGGCAAAATTTCTAAAAGGTTTGTATTTGCTATAGGTAACTTGGTTTCCAAAATGTCAAAGTATGAAATGTATTTTGTGCTATTATTCCTCTATTTAGCAGTTATGAAAGAAATAATTATCGTTGTTAAGTCACTGTGCTTTATTATTCACAATTAAATTAAACATTTTCTGAAATTTGTACTTTTCTCATTTGGTTTGGTAACTAATAATTATTGGTTTTAATTGGTTAAATGCTGAATTTTATCAATAATTGATTATTAGAATGATAAAGCAAAACTCAGCAAAGCATTTAATGTATGTTAATTAGGTACCAATCCAAAAGAGAATTTTCAAAAGAAAACGTTTGGAAAATTATTATTTAATCGTGAATAATCAATCATAATGAGTCAGTAATGATGGAATTTTGTTTTATAAATACAAATAAAAGGAAAATTGCTTGAAATACACTTTATTTTTTAATACTTTGGATAATTTTTAAACAAATTAATTTAACTTCAAAATATCCGCTAAATCATCGTTCAAAGCGTCGAAAGATAGATGGCGCATGATTGCACAAACTGGCAAATTTCAATTATTATTACTTTTGCAAATTTTGTCTTAATTAAAGATGAATTTATATTGTTTTATTGAATAATTGATACATTTTGAACGTTTTTCTAAATATAATAATTAGTCCTTGGTTAAATATTTCGAGTTTGCTCCGTTTGTGTTAATGCCGCGCGCCGCCGTTACATTGTTGTCAATTTGAGGGAATTTCCTTCTTTGCGGGAATTTAAATATACATCAAAGGCACAATTCACAATATACAATAGTGTGGATTGTGATCATAGGGAACAAGTTAAATCAAAACAAAATTGTATATTTCAAATCAAGTCTGAATAAAAAAATACCAATCTGCATTTGACATATTTTTAGTTGTTACTTATGTTTTTCAACTTAAAACTTTTTTATATCTTGTACTTTGTACGTTTTTTGGTAAATTTATATTTTTTCCAAAAGGAATTTATTTTTTCAAGTAAGTGGAGGGAAAAAGCTTACTGAAAGGCGGCAACACTGCGACGTTGTTATTAGGCAAATGGACGAGTGCGTTGTTCGGCTGTTTTTAGAAGAGGCGCCATTGTTGTTCAATAAAATACGAAGAAATAGCCAAGTTAACGCGTTTGTGGATTATTTTAACGAATTTAACGATTACGGAGAACTTTATGAAGATATAAGGAGGAGTGACAAGCAAAGGAAGTGTGGAATCTTGGAAATAAGTGCTAAAAGTGGTGTAATGTTTGTAGGTGCGTATCCGTTCTAAAGTGTTCCGTAGTACGTTTCATAAGCTTGGACTCGTCACGTGGGAGTGTGCTGTTTTAAATAATATAATGCTTTTCATACCGTTCAATTAGATTTTATTCGACAAAATATCGGTTTAGAAGTATAAATTAGTTCGTATTGGATGACTAACATACTTTAATTGACTTGTAGGTTTGTTTCCTAGTAATTTCACTTTTATGTTTTCGGTATGGAATTAGCCGGTGATTAGTTCTGTTTGAAAATAGCCAAAGCTATACCTACTTGTTTAATGAAATTTATAGATGTTTATTGATCAAGTCTGTCTCTGTTCTTCCAGTTAATTACAGTTGTTAGTGACATGAAAGACTTTGTTAGAAACACTGGATGAATGGGATTGCGCACAGCCTCGGTGAGGCGTCCCCATGTGGCCCCAGTCATGGCCCCAGCTCTGACCGATACACAATCTCCAACTTTTAAATTACCCCCGAAACCAGCATCTCCAATAAACAGTTACGAGACAAACAAATACGTATCTAATGCAAAGGACTCTTTTCACAAAGGTAGTAATCCCTACAATATTAATTCTGATGAACTAGATACTCTTGAAACACTGCTGAATAATAAGTGCTTGACCAATTTAAGTGGTGCCTCGGACAACTCTTTAAATATAATGAATAATAGCCCACCACTTATGGGTGACCAAGGAGATAAAATGGGCCTTCAAAAAACTGCTTTGGACTCTGTTTCCAACATGCAAAAATCAGTTAAAAGTGCTAATGATGTGGAACAGTTATTTAACAATCTTACCTCGGTGTTGCCTGGAGGAGATTTGGGACAAGAATTGATGCAAGTCATTAAATCTATGGAGACTCCAAATGATTTGAATAATGAAAGCGATGAAGTTTTTCCTCTAACATCTTTTGAAAAGGAGTTGTTAAATGATGTTGATGTGATGAATATGTCCATGGACCAACAAGATGAAATGGAGGATTTAAAGGAAACTCAAGCAAAGGATTTCCTTCAGAATCTACAAAACAAACAAGCAAAATATGAAAGACGCTTAGATTTCCTTAAAAGGAGGGTTTGCAAGCTACAAGCCCGATTTATGGGCCAGCATATAAGTGGAGAAATTGGCGGGGTTTACGAATTAGTGCACAGACAAATAAAGAAAGCCAAGGAAATGCAGGAAAACTCCCTGACCAACAATGTTTTACCAACACCCAGTGAATCGTTTAGTGCTGAAAAAGAAAAACCTAAACCCCTACCATACGGAGCCACCAAATCCTTAGTAAAAAAACTGGAAATGACAACATTACTACAAGCAAACTCTGCCTCAAGACAAAGACATGTTGCCAAGTACTTTGGATCTGGGTCTATGGAGCCCAGTGTTTACCGTAGCAGTGCAACAAGCATGGTTAATATACCAGCTTGGCCTCTGGAGTCGAAAAACGAACTGCAAAAAGTGACGGGGCTCTTGAAAACCGAGCTGGAATTAGTGCAAAAACAAGTGGACTCTGAAGCGACAGAAAGTAGTTCGGGCGGCGAAAGTTGCGATGAAATGCAAACTTACAACAACCCCCATCAACAATATTTAAGCATGTGAGTACACTAATATTAATAGAATTTGTTTGTTTATGTATTAAAGTATGTTTCTTATCTTTAATGCATTTGCTGTTTAATTACCATTTTTTTAATTATCATTTTAGTCAGCTATATGTATATACTTTTTGTGCAAATTTTAATTGCAAACTATTATGCAACTTAAGGGATAGTCTAGGACAAAATTATCGAAAAAAGTTACTTTATATATTTATTAAATTAAAAACAAAATTTTATATCACAATTTTTAATTGGTAAAATAAATTAATAAATATTATATAAAGTTATAAATATATTTTATTTATTAATACTTATTTATACTTTTATTTTAAAAAAGAAGAAAACATTTTTTTACACTATACTACTATAAATAAAAAATATGGGTACTTCCCACCTAAGTATTACTTTATATGTAGGTATCCATATTTTTTATTCAATTTTTTTTTATGAAATGGTATTTGTTTTTTAATCAAAAGTGGGACAAAAAACATAGTGGGTGAAAATCAATAAGGTGCATATTAAAAAACCTTCTTAAAAGTTTACATATTTATTTACTGTTTAAAAAATACTTCATTAACATTTACCTAAACCTAATCGGTCACTATAATGTTTACCAACTGATAAGATTTAATTAAGGATTAAATATTCATTTAGCAGGTAATAATCTAATTATTCATTTTGATAAAGATTATTATTTTGGTTGCTATTTTATGTGTGAAAAATTTAAATTTAAAATGGGCTTTACGGACGGCTGTAACGACTAATGATAATAATATTATGTAAATATTTGATGACGATAAAATTGTATAGTAAAAAATATCTGCATTGGAATTTTTTGTTGCTCAACCGAATTGCGGCTGGAATTTATTTTGAAAATTAAATCGCGTTTCTTTGTTCTAATTGTTTGATGCTCTTTTGAATACAGGTATGGCAATAACGATTAAAAGTATTGTTTTTATATTGAGTCAGCATCACCGTGTTCTGAAGGTCACCGGGCAATTTGTACTTTATTTTGATTTGTAAGAGTTAATTTTTGGTTATACATGTCATCTATATTTTCATGAGGGTTGGTAAATCACTTTTTTTAATTTAATATAATTTACCTAAGTGCAAACTCAAAAAAATATTTATTTTATTTAAATTTGATTAAAATGTACAGATCAAATTAAATAAAAAATCTATATCATCATGATTATAATATTCTAAGAAGATTTTTTTTTTGCTCGGACCAAATTTTGAAATTCATAAAAGTAAGCGACATATTGCACTATTTGGTAAGCTTATCAGATCGCGTCATTTGCATTATTCTTGTTAATTTTATTTTATTTAATTAAAAAAAACGAAACAAATTATATCAAAAGCAGGGCTGGCAAATAACATGATATTTATATAAATATCCAAATATCTTATACAGGGTGGTCCAGGAATAATCTGAAAAATTTTAATGATCGATAGAGCCTGAAAAAACAATAAAAACAAACCCAAAAACATTTTTCAAAAATACACACTAACACACTAATAGCCCTTCAAAGACAAAAAACCGTTTTTTTTTTAAATAACTTTTAAACCATTAAACCGATTCTGCTCAAATTTTGTGTAGTTAAAATTTCTTACAAAAGGCCCAGCGGCGGAGATTTTGGGGGGTTTCCCCTTTTTACCCCCATATTTCGACCCCACTGGATTTTATTGGAAAATCAACAGATTGTCAAACACATTTGATTTATTATGCCACGTTATCAGTTTAGCAACATCGAATATGCAGATAATCATTATGTGTATGGACTATGTGATGGAAATGCGCTAGCACCAGAGGTTTCGAGACTTACTATGAAATAATAATGAACAAAATGTACGTGAACCGAGATTAAGACGACGGGATACTGAGAACTTTTCAAAATGATCCAGGGTTGACCTCCCGGAAAGCTGCTTTAAGACTGAATCCCTCAAAGTCAAATATTCTTCATGACGACCACCAAAAACCTTATCATTACCGCCCGGTTCAAAAAAGAAGAGCCCAATTTTGTTCGAAAAATTGTATGGCGCTCCAGCACATTCAAGTGTTCGAGTGCTGCAATGGTGCGACAAAAATTTCCCGCAATGTTAGATTGGGCGTTTTGGGCCAATCTCTTGGCCGGCGAGATCGCCTGACCTCAACCCGTTAGAATAGTAGAATACTTAGAATAGAGAAGAATTAATAGACAGGATACGAGATTAATGTAACTACACTACAAGTTGCACGGGCTGTCCAATTCCTTCTACGGCGCTGTCAAATGTGTTTGGATTCTGGGGGAATGCATTTTGAAAGTCTGATATAATTTGCTACAAGCTACTGTTACTGTTATAATTTGTTACTAAGTTACCGATTCAAGATAAAAATAAACTAGCGTCTAGTCATCGTGCAGTTGTTACTGATCCCGTCATATTTTTAGGTTGTTTTATTGTAACGTTGATTGAGGATTACAATCAACGTTTGTAATTCATAATTATAATTTAATCTTTATACACAGTGTTTTTGAAATTTTAAACTAAAATATTTCGAAACCACTGATCTGATGAAAAATTAACACAAAAGTTTTGCTTTTACATTAAAAAAGGATATAATAAATCTGATAAATCCAGTGGCGTCGAAAATATGAAGGTAAAATGGAAAACCCCCCAAAATCTCCGCCACTGGGCCTTTTGTAGAAAATTTTCTTTATATTATCGACCGAAGCTTAACCTACACAAAATTTGAAAAAAATCGGTTTAATGGTTTAAATTATTTTAAAGGACTATATCTCCGTTAGTATGCATTTTTGAAAAATGTTTTTGGGTTTGTTTTTAATGTTTTTTCAGGCTCTATCGATCATTAAAATTTTTCAGATTAATCCTGGACCACCCTGTATATCGATATACAGGGTGTTATTTAAGTACGTGTCCAAACTTTAGGGGGCGATTCATTGAGTGTTTCTAAGACGAAAAGTTCATATAAACATAGGTTTAGGCTCCGTTTTCAACTTACAGGGTGTCAAAACTTAAAAAAAAAATTTTTCCAAATAGGTATCTCAATAATCATTTTGCCGATTTTGTTAAAATTTAATAGTGTTCTATTAAATTTCAACCAAATCGGCTAAATGATTATTGAGATATTTGGAAAAACAAAATTTTTTTTAATAACAATTTAGGGTAGTAAGGGGCTAATTTAGCACTAACTAGATTAAAATTATTAAGCTCAGTGGCGTCCCCAAAGACACCTGAATCAATATTTTTTACAAAAAAATGTGCGCCACTGACTTTATTTTTATATTTTTTTCACATTAAGTAACTAAAAATACAACTTTTTTATCTGTAGCATATTTTTCGTATATTGCTGCGTTTTTGAGAAAAAATAAAAATAACTTTATTGCATGTATACATACGTACCCTGTACTTTATGACCCTTTTTTTTAAGTTTTGACACCCTGTAAGTTGAAAACGGAGCATTTCCGGACCTATGGCTATATGAACTTTTCGTCTTAGAATCACTCAAAGAATCTTCCCCTAAAGTTTGGCCACGTACTTAAATAACACCCTGTATATCCGATATATATCAAAATTTGGATATTTATTTCTTTTTTGTTATAACTATTTTCTGCTTAAAGAATTAAAGATATATGTTTAAAATTTGTATTTCAATTCTATTCTATTCAATGAAAGTTGCTATCACAATAACAAGTTTTTTTAGTACCTACTAGTATAAAAATGTGCAGAAACGTTGATTTATTCATATCAACTGATTAAGCATCAGTGGATATAGGTTTTTGCACGACATGGCAACATAGTAATTTTCTTTAAAAACCGTTGTTTTATAAAATAAATTGGGTAATTATCTTTCAACGTTTATATTTTCCCTAAAAAAGTCGATTTCTATACATTGAGATTTTAATTTAGACATAAAACAATTAAAATTTCATCAAGATTTATTTGACGTTTGTGACATTTGCTTTTAACCATAGAAAATAATTTTGCTAATATAAGTCATGGTTTACTAGATTTGTTTTTTGGCCAATAAAATCATCTAAAATGTAAATTGGTTGATAAAATTTATATCAGTCGTTAACGACTGATTAAAAATATGGATAAAAATATACAGTATTTTTGTTTGTAAATATATATGAAAAAATAAATTCAGAAGGTTAACATACCTTTAACAAAGATATAATTAAAAAATAACATTTTTTAAAGATAAAATAAACCTACCATGTTAATTATATCAAATATCTTTGCTGTTTTTTTGTCTGATTAAAAAGCTGAATGCATATCAATTGATTTTTACTTTCTTTGGTTTCATTGTGAAATAATTACCTCCAACATTAAACTTGAGTAAAAATATTTATTGATTCATTTTTTTATTATTAAAAACCGTTAAAAACATACATACCTTCCATAAATGTTTACTTTTTAATATAATACCTAGATAATTTAAAAATATTGCTATTTAATAAATATATTTATTATAATAATAATAATAATAATTATAATAAGGAATATAAAATAAAAGCAAAATTTTGTTTAAAAAAATATTTGTCTTATTTTTTAATTACTTTTGATGAATTTTAAATTTTAGACCAATTTCAACTTATTTTTTCTCAGTAGGGGACCATTTATCTGAGGAAATTTACACTATTTATTTTTCGGCTCAGAAATATAGGTAGGTACTATTAAACATAAAAGAAAATGAAATTCAGGGACAAAAACAAATCAAATTGAATATACCTACATATTTTAATATTATTAACAGTTTTAGCCAGTAATACAAGGTTAAAAGGCATTTTATAAGAAAATAAAAAATACACCCTCTAGGTAAAAACAATTGTATTTGCTCGAAAGCAAAAACAGGCTCAGTGTATGAAACTATTTTCAAATTGTTTTTATAATTTGTAATATTTATTTGACAAATAACTAGGGATGCACCGGATCGGGTATTTTGCCCATCCGGCCGGAACCGGAATTTCGGCCGCTGGCCGGACCGGATCGCCGGA